CATGTCCGAAATATGTGACGTGGCAATGCCCCGCGTCCGGCCAGGAAGCGCCCGGCGTCAGGTGTATTGGTGGTCGCGTGAGCTGACGTCTCTGCGCGAGGCGTGTGTCGCCGCGCGGCACCTGTACACCAGGCATCGCAGGCTCCGCATTCGTCCACCGAATGCGGCAGCCATTGAGGCGGAGCTGTACGAGGGATACAGAGCGGCGAAGAACGCCCTCCGGGAGGCTGTCCTGCGGGCCCGGGATCGGGCCCGTGAGGAGATGCTGGAGACTCTCAACAGAGATCCGTGGGGGCGCCCTTACAAGATGGTGCGGGATAAACTCCGCACCTGGGCCCCCCCGCTGACGCAAAGTCTCCGGCCCCAGCTCGTGGAGGACGTGGTGAGCGCTCTGTTCCCTACGCGACGGGAAAAACCGCCTCCGCCTATAGCTCCGCCACCTGCGGTGCCGGAAGCGGACCACCAGGACGACGACGACGACATCCCGGAAGGGACCGGGGTAGACCTGAGAGTGGCGGTACGTAGGCTCAAGGCCAGGAATACCGCCCCAGGACCCGATGGCTTGCCTGGCAAAGCCTGGGTCCTGGCCTCGGAGGCTCTAGGGCCCCGACTGGAGGGGCTCCTAAGCGCATGCTTGGAGAGAGGCCAATTCCCGCTTCGTTGGAAGACGGGGAAGCTGGTCCTCATTCGGAAGCCGGGGCGCCCTGCGGACTCTCCGTCCGCATACCGGCCCGTGGTGCTGCTCGACGAGGTGGGCAAGCTCTTTGAAAGAGTCATTGCAAACCGCCTCGCCGAGCACCTTGCGGAGACGGGGGCCGGATCTTGCGGAACACCAGTTTGGTTTCCGCAAGAGGCGCTCTACGGTGGACGCCATCATGCGCGTGACAGCCCTCACGACGGGGGATGCAGTGGCCAGAGGGGGTTGTCTTGGCGGTGTCTCTCGACATCGCCAACGCCTTCAACTCCATGCCTTGGAGCTGCATTAGGGAGGCACTCCGGTATCACCGGGTGCCGACCTATCTCCGTCGTATAGTCGGGGACTACCTGACGGACAGAGCCGTCATCTACCCCGGTCGCAACGGTGAGTGGAACCGGCGAGAGATGTCGTGCGGTGTCCCACAGGGTTCGGTTCTGGGGCCACCTCTGTGGAACATCGGTTACGACTGGGTGCTGCGCGTCGACCTCCCTACTGGCGTCAGCGTAGTTTGCTACGCTGACGACACGCTGGTACTGGCACAAGGGGGGTCGTACGAGGCGGCGGCGTAAAATATGACACGCGGGGTTGCGATAGTCGTTGAGAGGATTCGGCAACTGGGTCTCGAGGTGGCTCTGCACAAGTCCGAGGCCATGCACTTCCATGGTCCTCGGAACAGGCCACCACCGGGATCGTCAGTGATGGTAGGAGGGGTATCCATCGACGTCGAGTCGACGCTGAAGTACCTAGGACTCGTCCTCGACGGCCGATGGAACTTCGTTGAGCACTTCCGACGTTTGGCTCCCAAACTGGAACGGACCGCGGCTGCCTTCAGGCGGCTCCTGCCGAACCTGGGAGGGCCAAACGCCTCCTGCCGGAGGCTCTACGCGGGGATCGTGCGGTCCATGGCCCTTTACGGGGCCCCGGTGTGGGCGCGTGGTTTGGCGCGGCTTGCCGTCCACCACCTGAACGCGCCCCAAAGGGTGATAGCCGTGAACATGGTTCGCGGCTACCGCACGATCTCCCGCGAGGCGGCGAGCCTCCTTGCCGGATTGCCGCCATGGGATCTGGAGGCGATAGTCCTCGCGCGCCTGCACGAATGGCGTGCGGAGGCACTATGCCGTGGGGAAACCCCGCTGCCGCGGCAAGTTGTCGCGCAGCGGACAGACTTCCGGCACGATCTCATGGCGACATGGAGACAGCGACTGTCGCAACCCCGTGCTGGGCACGCTCCTATAGCGGCGATAAGACCCCTCTTGAGGAGTGGCTTGAGAGACGCCACGGCATCCTCACCTTCCGCCTGACGCAGGTCCTCACCGGACACGGTGTGTTTGGGAGGTTCCTGCACCGAATCGGGCGGGAGAAAACGCCCGGGTGCTCCCACTGCGAGGATGGACCGGAGGACACGGTGGAACACACCGTGGAGGTGTGCCCTGCTTGGGCGGAGCACCGCCGTGTCCTCGTAGCGGCGATAGGCGGCGGCGACCTTCGCGTCCGGCCCTGGTCGAAGCCATGGTCCGGAGCGAGACGGAATGGGATGCCGTCACCACTTTCTGCGAAGCAGTGATGCTAGCGAAGGAGGTGGCGGAGCGGGAGAAGGAGAGAGCAGCAGCTTTCCTCCCCGGCCGCCGCGGGAGACGCCCCGGGCGTCGGGGGCTACGTCGTGGCCCCCGGCCACCGTAGGCGCGGGCCTGTGGACGGCGAGCAATGGGTAGCTCGTCGTCCGTCCGTCTAATGACGACAGGCCGTGTCGACGGCGCGTTTTGTTCCACGCGCGCCTCAAAGAGCTGTCAGCAGCGTGAAGGGGCCCACAAGGGCCGACGCCTGCCGGGGCTGCGGGCTGTTCGAAACAGATACCGCGGCTCCGGAACGTAAGGGCACTGAAGGAACACGGATGGTTTTTAGTCAGTAAAACTGACACTCCCTTACGCTCCACCCAGAGCGAAAGGGGTCATTAGATGATTTTCCATCCGCAAAAAAAAAAAAAAAAGTATTTGGTATATTACTTCGTTAATCAAAACATTTTTGTTAAACATAGATACGAAAATAAGTGAACTTTAGTGGATTAAGAATCTAAATCCTCAACATATTTAAATACGAATATAAAATTACGCTACAAAGAGGTCTTAGAAAATTTATTTTGTTTCCTCTATGTATTTTTTGCACGATCCTTTTTCTGTGATTCAATGAAATCGTAAATAGTTTGCTTTTTAACTCCAAAATTGTTTATGTTATCAAGTTTCATGGAACATTTTTGTTCCATTTATTTAACAAACAATAACAAGATCAGAGTCAAAAAATGTGAGTTGAAAAAAAAACTACCACATACTGGAGCCTTACCTCATAATATAACCTTCTTCTTCTTACCTAACCTAAAATTAAACCCTTGATATAGAGAAAATTACAGATGTGTGGGGATTTCCTTTACAGCTATTGCGTCCATAATAGATTTCATTGCACTTAATCTTGCTATTATTTTTAAAACTAGTTGTAGAATCTGGTGTGTTTCTTGAGTTTATGAATTAATGAAACGTAGTAAAGTAATACCTTTACTTATATCTGGTGATACATTGGACCCCACTAATTTTAGATCTATTTCTGCATTACCAACGCTCAGTAAAATTTTTGTTATGATAATTTTAGATAAATTGTATTTTTTTTTTACTAAAAATAAATAACTCGATAAAAACCAATTGGGTTTCACAAGGGGTTGCCGCTCGACAAATGACGCAGGTGTCGAGCTTATGAAATATATTTTATAATATCTGGGAGATTTCACAAGATGCCTTTAATGTTTTTGTGATCTTTTCTAGGCTTACGATTGTATTCATCACGATATATTAATCATGAAACTACTAATGATTACGGTGTAAAATATTGCGTTTAGACTTATTATCTCATATTTAAATAACAAAACTCAAAAAGTCGTTATCAATGGTAAATATTCGTCCGGATCAGTAGTATCAATGGGCGTTCCTCAGGGCTCTATTCTTGGCTCATTCCTGTTTTTTGTCTATATTAATAGCTTATCTTGTAGAGGACAATATAAATATAGTATTATTTGCATATGATTCCCCTTTTTATTTCCAAACTCGAACAACTATCGCTTAATTTTAACAAGATAAATAATGTTCTATCGAAATTAGTACATTGATTTAACGCTCATAATTTGCTCTTAATTGGCAATAATACAAAATGTGTTAAATTTACAATATCTAATATTACACATTCAAATGCTAATGTGCTCTTAAACGTAAGTAAGTATGTATAGTAGAAGAGTAGAAACGAGGTATTCCATCTCAGTCTTCAGGGATGACAACGCATCTGCATTTTGATTCTTAATTGAAGGTAAATGTAGATGTCTATGGGCCACAGAACTCACTTACTATCAAGTGGACTGTGTGCCCGTTTGTCACTCTCATTCTATAAAAAAATGACTTAACCAATTGAGGTCATGTTCACACAAAACTAATTATTTTGTCCAGGCAATGGTTCCTAGCGATGATATAATTCAAATGGTTCAAGTTATACAAATTTCATATTTAAGGAATAAAATAATTTACATACACAATGCATTTTTGCGTAATGCCAAAACGTAAAATAACAAAATATACCGTTTGTTTGTCACTTAATTTTATACTAAAAAGTAGCTACCAGAGGTCATGATATCTCTCTGCGATTTCCCATAGTAGTGGGCGTCTGGTAAACATTTAAGGGTAGGTCCGTCTAGCGTGAAGTTGACCAGCAAGAAGCACGTATATAGGCGTGTAATAAAAATGGCTGCCTGGATGCTGTAGGTTTTAAAATATTTTACTAAGGAGCTAGTTTAAGAGGTTGCTCCCTACGTTTAGCTTTGCCAGTTCCACCTGATAAGACTCAATACAATAATGCGACCTATACGTAGAATAAAGTTACATGTGAATATGGAACTAAATCATTATTATTGTATTTTTGAGTCTAAATAAACCTATTTATTTAACTAGTGAAATACATTTTTTTCTTAAATTAGTGTGTCCAAAGATTACTGTTGAATAATGGCACATATGGTTTTTCCCTCCAATGAACAACGTTACGACATCACATGTGTCACTAACCTCTGTCGGCATTGGCTCGAAGGAGCCGCGCGCGCCGAGTCATATATTCAATCGCGCCTATATTCTGGGGAAAGACGGTTGCACACACGTTTGTTCTGTACACAGTTTTATTACGTATTGTAGAATTATAATAATAATAAAGTTTATGTATTTAAAATGAAAAGTACACGTTCTAAACATATGTTAAGTCTACATTAAGACCGTTGATTAAAATGAAAACTGAATCTGATCCTGTGGAAAAAAGTTTTGAACAATTGGAAATCTCAGGTAAGTTAATCTAATTATCTTATGTTAACTCTTGTATGTTGAGTATAAAGATTACTTTAGCATAACAATTTTTTTTTATATTTCTTATTAACAAAAGTTTTACTCACAACAATAAAGTTAAATGATCCCATGAGCACATAGGCCTTTATTCCACATAGAATTTACCTTTTCTTTAAAAACAAAAAAAAAACAAATAAAAATTAGGATGAAATTATGTCTATTAAATGTTTATTAAAATGTTTTGGTAACCTTTTAGTATTCACAAATGTGGTTATATATTCGAACATATTATGTTATACCTCAAAAAAATTACGTAAACAATACTGGTCTATGCACACATGTCACTTTGTTCGGGGGACATTATTTTGAAACTATATGGTCTATGTGTAAATGTAACTTTATTCTTAGTAAGACATTGAGATATACCTGTTTTCCAACTCAGAATTACCATGAAAGCCTGAAAAAAATAATCTTATTTTTAGATTAATTATTTATTTAGAACTACTTATTATTAATATTAGTTATTTATTTGGTTTGAGTGAGGCAATCTTTGAAATATATTTATTTTTTGTTTTTAGAACATAACATGGACAATTGCGCAGTTGTTACCCAATCGCAACTGCCGCGTGAAGCTGAGAACATCCATCAAGATATGGCTGAGGTATGGGAGGATGTGTTCGGTTCACCACATATTCCGCCCGACGTTATCTCTGACAAAACTAGCCTAAAGTCACTGCGTGTAGTTGAAAATTCTAGAGACATCAAATCAATTCTATTAAAGCCTGCAGATAGCGAAGAACTAACACCTTTGGCAATTGAAGTACCTTCCAGTTTTGAAAATTCACCCGAAGTCGGCTTTGGAGACTTGCCTTCGGTTTCAGCACCTAATGTCCCGACTTCTTCCCGACCCCTTCGCCATTGAACTCACACAGAGATTGCCATGATTCCTTTTGTTCTATCCATGAGCATTGGACTCAGTCGCCTTCAGCTACTAACACATCTAGTGCACTTAACAATTCTAGTGATGATGCATGCTCTGCATCAGCCAAGAAAAGAGCAAAGAAACGAGTACGCCTTACATCTGAATGATCAGACGTCAAAAGAAAGTGCCTTAAGAATATCGGTAACAAATACGTAACCAAAAAGGGAAAGATAGTCGATGACAAAACTTTAGGCGTACCGTATAAATGCCGGCATCAGTGCTTTAAAAATATATCTCATGACCAAAGATACTATTGTTTTCAGAAGTTTTGGAGTTTGGGAAGCCAGGAAAACAAAGGTCTTTTGTAGTTAGGTACTCTAAAAAGGAGCAAAAGAATAGATGTTTAAATCGAGAGGTACCCAACAATCGGAAATATACATTTAAATAATTTCTGCCAGTATCAATACCCAAATCAAACCAGAGCCAGAATGAAATGGTTAATGTTTGTAAGACTATGTTTTTGAACACGCTGTCCGTTAGTGGCAAAATTATTAAAACAGCTTGGGATAAATATGATGGCAGTACTATTATAGAAGAATATAAGAGAGGACGCCATGCAAACCACTATCAAGTAATAAAGCCTGACACGGTCAAAAGTGTATGTGACCACGTTAGATCCTTTGCTCCTATTTAATCACATTATATACGCAAAACTTTACCTGGATGGCAGTCTCAGTATCTCAAAGATGTTTCAGCTATATAAAGAATGGTTTGATGCTTCGATTTATTCGAGTATGGCTGCTACTGAGCGACAATATCGAGACATTGTCAATAAGCATTTTAATTTGGAATTCTTCATTCCCAAAAAAATCAGTGTGATAATTGTCATGTTTTTAGAAACAAGACTGATCACACTAACGAAGAAAGACTGGATTATGAAAAAAATTAATCCCATAAAAATTCAGCTCGTAAGTTAAAGGATCTCGACAAACGTGATGCCATTGAATCAAATAGTACGACACTGGCAGCAGTTTTCGATTTTCAAAAAGTTTTATCGTGTCCTCATGGTCAGGTTAGTGTGTTTTATTATAAGCGAAAACTGTCTTGCTTAGACTTTACCATTTTTGACATGGGTAGAAAGAGGGCAGTTTGCTAAATGTTGGATGAGACAGTGGCAAAAAGAGGGGCAAATGAAGTAAGCAGTTGTTTGTTTGACTATATTGAGCAGAATGTAAGAAAGGGAGTTACAGAGTTCATGTTTTGGTCGGACAACTGCGCCGGGCAAAACAGAAATCGTTATGTGTTCTTTCTCTATGTTTATTCGGCTTCAAAGTTTAACGTGACTATAAGACACCGGTTTCTCGAGAAAGGTCACACTCAGAATGAAGGAGACAGTGTGCACGCTCTTATTGAACGAGCAGCCGAGAAGAAAACCATTTACACTCCAGACGAATGGCGTTTACTTTTTCGTTGGGCCAAATGCACAGGAGAACCCTATGAAGTCCGTAACATGACACAGAATAATTTTTTGAGCTAAAAGGTCACGTAAACAACAAAGTCTGGTGCAAAAATACAGAAGGCGTAAAGGTTTCATGGAGCCGTGTTAAAGAGGTATTTGTAGATAAATCAGAGCCTAATAAGCTACCATATAAATATGATCTCAGCGAAAATCATTATTTTACCGTTTTAATACGCTCAAATACACGCAATGCTTCTACTTTTTTCCCTACTCTAGAACTGGCTTACAAAACACCTATCAATTTAACCAAAAATAAATATAAGGATCTTATTAGTTTAGTCGATTCTGGAATAATACCTTCCCAATACGCAGATTTTTTACATCTCTGCCAGTGAGCACAAATAATGTTGGCATTGTCAATAGCGATAGTGAAGATGACTGATTTAATATTTTTAATGCTCAATGTTTATTTTTATTTTTTTTAAATTAATGGTTTTTTATTCAATAATGAACCCTAATGCTGCGGTTAGAATTTAATTATAAAAGAAGAATGCGCTTATTGTTTTTATTTTCATTAATTAATTAGTATTTACACTATTTCATCTTTGGATATAATTTAATTTTATATGTTTGTGCATTGTGAAACTGTCACGTCTAAGTTTTACGTTCTAATATAAATAAAAAACTTTAAACTTTAGTTAAAAGTTATACGTCATACTCTCGTATTAGTTACTGATATTATTATTACCGATTTTTTATTTTTGTTACTATTTCTTATAGTTCCTTTAAAATAGATTAGACGCCCAGTACTTAGTTTGTTGATTTTATAATTTTTGATTATTTTGTTCTTATTTGTTGATATTAAAGTTAATAAGTCTAATACACAGTAAACATTATAGAAATAAGTTACATTTAGTTACACACTGTGAACTATTGATCAATAAAACCTTAACAACAAAAAAATCCTTTGTAATTTACTTAATTCGCATATACCTTTTGACGTGACAACGTCTTATAAATTGGTTTGCCGGGTGACACTTCAAGAAACTGCATTACGCTCCGCTCACGTTATGCGCTCACAATGAGAGCGAGTGAGAGGCACGCGTCCCTTCCACTCGGGCATGGTTAGCCCGCCTAAGAGCGAGAGAGACAGACATAAAAAGTGAAAGGCACGCGTCCCTTCCACTCGAGCACAGTTAGCCCGCCTAAGAGCGAGAGAGACAGAGCGAGAGAGAGAGAGTGAGAGAGTCGTTGTCACGTAAAACTTTCGCCCGTATACCGACTTTACAGGCAACCAATATTTTTTTTTTATCATTAAGACCTTATGGTTGTGTATTTACTTATAATAAAGACATATGTGCGCATTTAACCAACAATTTTCCAAAGAATAAGGTTATATATCTATATGTAACCTACAGACATCCAAAATAAAACGTCATATATGCATATAGGACAGGCTAGATTTTAAAATACAGTTCTTTAATTAACGATTTTAATGAATATCCACGCCTTATCATAGTCTATAATAGTACATACCAAAAAACTAATTGTCTAGTTTAAATAACAAAAAAGTTAGAGCGAAAATTGTGCAAGACTGTCTTCGAATCGCTCTCCTGTAAAGTAAAGGTTTTGCAAATATTACTTTATTCTACGGATAGGTCGTGTCTTTTACGATAATTTTTTAAAAATTGTTTTACATTTTTTTAGCTTTCGGTTCTGAAGTACATACTATTTAATTAATTCGGTTCTTAACAAACGGGCACTTAATATATTTTTGCTATGGAACGACCTTAATTCGCTAAAACGTACAAGAGGATTTTTAAAATAGCTAAGTAAATTTGAATTATAATAGCCGGCCCTACAGTAGAGCGCCGTCTTTTTTAGTATTGTTTTGGGGTAACTGAATTTCTTACTGAATGAGATTCTTTGGGTCTTAATTATGGGGTAAGAGAGAGAATTGCTGACCTCCATTTTGGAAAGTTATTATATAACTTAACGTAAGAAAAGTTTTTATGATACTCTTGTTTCTGTTACCGAAAATTTTTACTATAGACCACATATATATCATTGCGGCAAATGAGATTTTTCTTTATGATCTTTATGATCTTTACAGATGACTGAAGAGTATAATCTACCAATTTGCCTTGAGTATATGGACTAAGGGAAAGTCTTTGGTGATAAGTTGCTTGTTGGTATTTCGAAGTACTGACGTTTTTGTACAGTAGGTGCCAAGGCTGTCCAAGGGAATTTCTGTCAGCCATCTCTTCCATTTCTGCACAGGAAGGACGACTCACTGGCCCATGCCGCAAAGGAGAAAACCGATCTGCTAGGCTCCTTCTTTGCGTTCAACTCGACTATCCCACGGTGTGAGTGCTCCATGCCGGAGATGCGGTTTACACAGAGCTCGGTTCACAAAGCATCCCTCTCCCTGGACATCCACAAGTCGAGGAGGCCAGATGGTATCACCCAATTGTGCTGATGACGTGTGCTCCAAAGTTGGCACAGGTCTTAACGCGTCTTTTCCGGTAATCCTACTCCCTAGGCGTAGTCTCAAAATCATGGAAAACGGCTTTCGTCCACCCGATCCCTAAAAAAGGCGACCGCTCAGACCCGTCCAACTACAATCAACAAGCAATTCATTGCTACTTTCAGAACCAAAATTACATGCCTGGTTATGAGATAAGTGAATCTCCGGCTGTCATCACTAACCATACAAAACGCAGCTGCTAATTTGCGTACGAGTTGGTGTTCTGTGACAAGTGGTAGTGTCTCGCTGCTGCATCATTACTCTACATAATAGAAAAGGACTGCTTCTCTTCATATACGGAATGATTTTTTATTGGGAAGATTCTTTTATAAATTAAGCTCTATAAATAACTAAAATCTTTATAAAATAATTAAAAATTTATTATTTTTTCTCACGAAAAATTCGTATTGTTGCTTCAATTCGACCTTTATTTAAACTCACGACCCGTTGCGCAAAAGTCAGTACTGTAACCGCTTGGCCATATAGTTCAACAATAAGAAATATAATGTTGATCATAATAATAAGACAGTTATTCCAATTCAGACTTAACCGTCGAGTATTTGCTATATTTTAAGAAAAGAGTAATATGTAAACGTTTTCTCTTTTGTGTTATGACAGTTATAAACTCGTTTATTACATTAACGTATTGAAGATTTATAAAGAGTGTGATAACAGACATTTCACGAGAGACGCAGCGGCATATCTTTTATTAACTTTCATCTTTTCATGCGGACTCGGTTTATAGAAATATATAAGACTGCCGCGCTGACGAATGGTGTCAGTACACAAAAGATGAATACGTCGCGTTGTAGCGTAATAATAGGTACTTTATAAGCTTGAAATTATTTAATTTATTCTTTATTTCATTTTTGAGCAACAATTTTACTATCAAGAAGAAAATGTTTATTTTAATAAGGGTTGTATAAGACTCTGTAGTATGATTTATTTTGGTAAATATTCTTTCATTATTCAAAATACTTTAAGTAAATTGCTAAGACCCGATTTAAAGACGAT